TACCTTTGTCTTTCCATAGGAGATCCAGTATAATGTAAAGGTCGAAGATATTCTTTAGTAATAAACTTTTCTACTTCATACACCCAATGCCCAGTCAGGGTTGGCGGGCAAATCACAATAGATGGAAGTGGTTTACAATCAGGATTCCCAGTTTCCTAAAATACCAACAGATGAGATGAAGCATATATAAAATATATCCGAAATTATGGGATATCATCACCAATATTTTTTTCAGAAAGTACTAGTGCTAGGCAATTACAAAAAATAATGGTGATGATATCCCATAATTGCTGATATATTTTATATTACTTGAAATATGAGACAAAATGATCATAATTTCTGCATATTACTGTATAAAAAACAAAACAAAATCACACACAAACGACAACAATATTSACAACACACTCTCATTTAAACCGAGATGTATCTTTAATTTTTTTTCAGTAATGTTGCCGTTACCTGAAATTTCTGAAGTTTRTTATGGTGATCTCCCGCCATGATACATATGGACTGCAAGGTCTTGCCTAATCCCATGTCTGWACACAATATTGTCAAGTAGATTCTAACTGATATGGTCAGCTGCTCAGAACGCAAAGCATCATCAATCGCCACGCACGCGCACAACATAACATAACGTGATTAACAGAGTTTTCTTATTCTTGAGCATTTTTAAAGAATCCCAACYAACCACAATACAGCGCGCGCTCGTGATATTGCTTACATACGTTTAAATGCGTCAAGCATACAATAGATTATTGGTTAACAGTACCTGTGAGGTACTTAGTTAAAGTTATTTCTGTACAAACTGAAAGGATTTGCGCTCACTTCAAGTAATCCTACGATTCCACCATTTTCGTTGCCGCTTTGGCTCGCAAGGTACGTCGGTTGTTTGCGATTCTTTAAGAACCACCTGCACCAGCGAGCCTTTGCGATCATTTGTTTTAATTTAAAAAAATATCTGTTGTTTAGTGTTGCTTTCTGATCTTACAAAATGAAGAATGGTGATTTCTCGTGAGAAAATCGCGCAAAGGTTCTTGGATGCTCGCGGTCCTTTAATTACCGGTTAGCAGTGAAAATTATTCAAAAGGATACCATCGCAAAGAATGCCGTGTAGTTTATACTTGTTAAGAAACGCAAGCCAGTTGACACCATCCTAGAAAAAAAAAATAAGGGAACAATTCAGCAGTCCATCGGAAGTCAAACATGCATATCGTTAGCAGAACGCTGACATTTGGCCGTGAAGACTCTGGGCTTGAGATTAAATTACGATCTGACTTTCTCCCGCGTGCAATGCATCAAGGGAAGACAATAAGATGCATTGCGGGCTCGAAACGACTCAAAAACAGCATGATTGTTTCTAAAGTGTTTATATTARGACCAGGACCTGACCTGTTGATATTTTCTTAACTCAGCTTTTATAGGTACAGGAATGGTGTAGCTYTGTAGTTTCTTGGCGTCGAGAAGCTGTTCAAGGAACACTCGCTCTTTTTGTTTTTKCTCCACGAGAGATGCGCACATTCCTGGTGGATCAGGTATACCAGCCTACAATACAAGTATACAGACATCATTATCAAAAGAATAGTGGCATAGCGAATTTTGCCTCAGCAGTCACACACAAAGGAATCAAGACAAGGCGCCGTGCATAAAGCTCAGTCATTCGTCATAAGACAATAGTTTTTCACATTTGACTGAGATTTATGTTCCTCTCCTCGTCTTGATTCCTTTGTGTTTGACAACGGAGTCGAAATTAGCAAATAGGCTATTAATAAGCGATCAATCAAACAATCAATTCACTAAATAAATGCATTGATCAAAAAAATTATGGTAAACAAGCTAAAATTCTTGCAATTGATGCTTGCAAAAACAATCAAACATCAGTAATAAATTGATCATAAACTCAWAGAATTAATAGGCTCCCTTACCTCAAGGGGCATAAGACGGATTGACGTAGCAAAGCAGTGTGTTGCTAAGAGACGTACATCTTCACACTGGTCACTCATACGTCCTAATATGGGCACAACCAGGAGAACGACGTAAGGGACAATGTCGATACCCATGCTCTCAATAACATCTGGCCATGTTAAGGTAAATGTGGGCATGTAATCACTTACATACAAAGGAACCTTCTTAATCCGACCACCAAATGTCCCGACATCATGCATGTACCATTCATATTATAAAGGTGCCTCACCCCACCCTACCCAAATACCAAGCCATTCATCATTAACAWTCATCAATGGAATCACAGTAAAGATGCGGATAATGGCCATTACAAAGACAACCCCACCGTCCCCACCCTACCTCACCATAAAACTTAWCACCATCATCATCCGTCACAGGCAGGATACGCYTAATGGCCATTACAAAGACAGCCCCACCATCCCCACCCTACCTCACCATCATCATTCATCACTGGTATCACACTAAAGATACGGTTAATGGCCATTACAAAGATAACCCCACCGTCCCCACCCTGCATGTACCTCATCATCATCATCATCATCATCATCATCATCATCATCATCATCATTATCATCATTATCATCATCATCACCATCATCATCATCACCATCACCATCACCATCACCATCACCATCACCATCACCATCACCATCACCATCACCATCATCATCATCATTATCATCATCATTATCATCATCATTATCATCATCATCATTATTATCATCATTATCATTATCATCATCATTATCATCATCATTATCATCTAGCATGATAATAAGGATACGATTAATGGCCTCTATAGCTCCTTGTCTTTTAATCACACTGTCTCCAGTCGCCATAAGTGGTACAACATCATTGATGACATGTTTTAATGTACGTTGACTGGCTGCTTTACTAAGAGCACCCATGCACCTTGCACTCATGTGACGCACAGAACAGTAGGGATGTTGAAGGCATACTAATAGATTTGTTAGCATGTCTACGATCTGTACAATCAACAGGAGCAATAATTAGGGGGATTTTTGTTTGCAATATTTTGCTCATTTTATTAGCATAAAAACAACATGAAAACAGCAAAATAACTTAGGGATTAGCAAAAACTATAGCCCGCGAAAACAGAGCAGAACAGAGCAGAAAAAAAATGAATAAAAGTTTTTTAATTTTATTCTATCATAAAGGTTTTGATACGTCACCAGTTTTACGCTAGTCATTAAAACCCCTTTAAGCTAAGTAGCTTCGACAAGTCAAACCTGAAAATTTACTTTCGTTTTATACCTCATTCAAAAGTGATTGGTGAATGTGAGGAACCAATAGTTCCAGGACTTGAAGACAGTGAACCAGAGTTTGAGCATCAGTCTCATTGGTCCGTACACTGTCATTACCTGCAGAGTAAAACACGTGACTTGGTAAATAACTTCAAAGGCCGCGTGGCACTGAAAACCGGTCTTAAAGATCTCTCGGGTAAATAGAATGAGTGCAGTTTCACAATTATACACCTATTTCCAAAAAACGTTTTCGTCACCAGGACACAGTCYACTGTCTTGAGCCTGCAAAGAATTTCGGGGTTTCCATGCGGAGTTAATTAATATATTCAAAATATATTTGTCTATGTGTTTTGAATTCAATAGTGGCAAAAAACTACTAATATACTATTGCGGATATTAAACCCATCAAACAAGTCTCGCATGAGACATTTCAGTTCCTTGAAGAATGTTCCGCGTTTTCAAACCATCAATGAGTTCAAAGCTATATTCGCCACAAGACCAAGAATTTTGAATGACTGAAAGTGAATATAGAATTATAAGGYAATCCCGAGACTATTTGCACTCTCAAAACTGTGGACTATGTCCTGGTGACTGACGAAATAGGTGTATAAAAGAGTTACCTAATACACTGTTATTGTGCATGGTTCCTAGAGGCTGAGTCATCGTCTCCCATAGTTTTGGAATACCCGTAGGRATGTCTTTATCAAAATGTTTGGCTAATCTTATCAGACAGAGTTCTGCTCCTCTTCTTTGAACTGCCAGCTCTTTGGAGTTCTGTATGGAATTGAAGGCGAGTTACATTAATAAGCATTTCAAACCTTCTAAAACATGCATGGGGAGATCAATGTTCAAATTTAAAATTTTTAAATAAATGCATAAACAACCTTCATCGATTTCTTACAATAGGCAATGTATAGCGACGCCATTTTGTCCAGCAAAGCATGATGGGAGTTATAGTCCTCGTACTCTTTCGTAGCGCCTAAAGAATGTCCCTAAAATCTGTATTTACGTTTTCTTTTGTAGAAACGGCAGTGCTAATTCTGTTTTAGCAAATAAAGAAAGACATGGAAAAGCTCGAGACTACAACTCCCATCATAATTTGTTGAACATAATGTCGTAAAAAAAGCCATSCACAAGAAATCTAGTAGAAACAGATAGTTTTGTTTCGAGCTACTTTGAAATCCTACCAATTCCTTATTATTGTCCTTTAAACATAAAATACTTCATTCGTTTATTCAAGTTGTAGTTTTTCTCAAGAAGTTCTTAATAAAGAGAATTTACTATTACATATTGTTATTGTTGAAATAGTCAATGAAAACCAGCCCCTTTGCCCATGATAACATCATACAATGTACCTCGTCCTCAGTYGGTCCTCCATCAGWTGTTGCATTGTCAAAGGAWGAACTGCTTGTGAGTTTGTTTCGTCTTCTTGAAGTAGCAGCG